CCCCAGCCCCTGCCCCGCGCAGCTCCCCCAGCCCCTGCCCTGCGCAGCTCCCTGCGCCGACACAGGCACCGGGCACCAAAATCCCAGCCCACAGCCAAGGCTCCCGGAGCTCTTCTGTCCCAGCACTAGCTCCTGTGGGTGTTACAGGAGGGGCAGCGAGCGCATCCTGCCTCGCCGTAGCTCTTTAGAGATGTAAAAATGAGGGAAAACGGGGCTCGGGGGCTGTCTCTGCGGAACAGCGCAACCCAAAGCTGCCTAACGCAGCATCAGCTATAGCTAGAGCAATAGGGTATAAATACGTTTTTATTGTACTTATTTCATCTGGTTCCTGCACTTCCCGTTAGAGCCGACACAGAGGCCGTGTCCCGCCGAGCTGGTCGTACCGGCTGGGCGCGTCGGGCCCGCACGGCACGCTGCTGCTGGGGCTCTGCCGCGCAGCCCTCATCCCGGCCCCCCCAGACGCCCTTCCCAGCTGCTGCCTGCACCAAGGGAGTGGACTGAAGCAGGGGAGGGAGCTTTGGGGAATAAACATTTGGAAAACAGACCCTTCTGAAAACAACTGATTCAAGACAGGAAACCCCACGGGCCTGCTGGTGCTGTTCACACCGCAGAGGGGACGTGAGAAAGGTGACGCGGAGAGGCACGGCGGCTGGCCGGGCTCACCACACCACCTCCCGCAGCCCCGGTCCCACCTGGGGCTAAGACTGGGCACCGAGGGCACGATTTCAGGTGAACACTGCCTGCCTTGGGGAGGCACAGGGTACTCCTTTCCCATGTGAAATGAATTTGTGCTTAGAAGCGAGGCCTGGTGAGAACAGAGCTGGGTGCAGGACCACCTTCCACTGGAACGTATTTATGACTCTTTGGAGCTTCACACCCCCACAGGCTGGGAAAGCCGCCCACCGCGGCACATCCCCATCCCGCCTGGCAGCAGTGGAGGAAGCCCACCCACCTTGTCCCTCCAGCGCTCCCGGGGCCTGTCACGCTGTGGGCTGCGTGTGAACAAGCGGCAGCGACTCGACTGCAAGGGCATGAGCGCGGTTACCCGGATGTGGGGCCGAGGCAGAGCTCTTTGGAGAGGCTCCGGGCAGCTGCCCCATCCCCTGAGTTCCTGCTCCCGGCAGCCGTCAGAGGGCTGCGCAGCAGGCACGGCCGCTACCTGGGGCAGAAACGCGGCTCCCAAACGTGACAGGTCAAATCTGGAAGAGGTTGAACCGCAAGGCTGAGTTAAGTGCTGTTGGCAGGTCGACCCCGTAATGAACCAGAGCCCCTGCCCCTCCTGACCTTGTCCCGAAGGTGAATCTTTCCAGTTATCAGAGGTGAAATCAGGAGGCGGTGGCTGCAAGTGGCAATGACTAACTTTAATCAGCTGGCGTGGCTGTGACCCGTGGGGGGACACAGGTCCCCACCGAGGGCAGGGCTGCATGCAGGACCAGGGTCTGCAGCACTCAGCACGGGGTGCAAGAGGGCCAGGAGTCCTCCAGCAGCACACTTAAAAATCATCCCAAGCGCTAACGAGCCCTGTAGCCACCCGCTGAAAAATGTAATATGAATCTGGTTTAAAAAAAAAAATCGAAACTAATTTTGTTTTCAAGTAAACATGAGCATTTACAAATGAAGTGTAATAATTGTGACTTGCAATCAAAGTTTGTTCATATTAGGCTGTTAATTTCTTGACCCCCTTCCAAGCTGTTTTTAATTATCTCTTTCACTCTTTACCATTTGATTCTTTTCCAGCAGCTGGCTGCAGAATACACAGCTGGGGAGATAATAAAGCCTTCCTGTGGCAATTATCGGTGCTCAGGCCACCGTATCTCGTTATTTTGATAGACAGTGAACTTGGCGCGGTTGCCGGCCGGGTTCACGACACAGCTGGGGAGATAATAAAGCCTTCCTGTGGCAATTATCGGTGCTCAGGCCACCGTATCTCGTTATTTTGATAGACAGTGAACTTGGCGCGGTTGCCGGCCGGGTTCACGCAGATGTCACGGTCCGTGGTGTAGGTCACAAGCGGGTCAGCGCCCGGGGAGGGGAGAGCGGCGGGTCAGGGCGCGGCC